GGTCCTTTTTTGCCCAATATGGCTCTGATAAAGCTTCCGATGCTCCTAAATGGCATCCAGGGTGGCTCGACATGGGCGAATGCGGTTCAAGATAACTTCCAACGTGCTTCCAAGAAGCCCGGCGAGGGCCTCAAGACGGACCCAAAGCTCTCGGAGCCCCCTCAGGATCCCACTAAAGGCCAAAACCTTTGAATCATAGAAAATCAGCCACCGTGTCTCTCGGCACGGAATTGGCGTGTCGTCAGATGCTTTGCCAAATCCTGGGATCCAGAGTCCTCAGCCCTGGGGAATCTTTCAAGGGCCCAGTCCTCAAATTCTCGAATTTGGCGGGGCTTCGTGCGGTTCCCCGGCGGTTCCCGTTGCATCTTGTCGCATGCCTTTTTCGGACCCCAGAAAGCCCCAACATGGGCCAAGAGAGCCCCAAGAGGCCTCCAAAACGGCTTAAGAGGGCCCCGACTCGCCGAAAGATCGCCCCAAAACGCTCAAGATAGTCCGAGGACGGCCCACGAGGCCTCCGAAACGCCACAGGAGGCCTCAAAACTGCCTCAAGAAGGACCCACGAGGCCAAAATCACTGATTCGCCATCGGGTCTCCAGGGTTTGGGAGTCCTCGTGCGTTCGGCTGCCTGGCGCTCCGGGTCGGACCACGAGGCCACGCAGACACGTGGCCGGCGCCAGAGCGAAAACGACAGGCTCAATGAAGGATGTCGCCAGCGCGCAGGCTACAGCGACGCGGCCAGCGCCACAGCGAGAACGGCATGCATGATGACAGGTGCCGTCGGAGCCTTGGCGACAGCAGCATTTTTCATTCAAGATGTCCCGAGGTCCCAACATTTTGAGTCAGACATGTGCCCACCACTCCGAGACAAGCGTGTCGTCAGAATGCTGGTGTCACGCCCACTTCGCGCGGGCCAGGCTCGTTGTCACCGAGGTCAGGGTGACTTTATGTGAGTCCTTCACGTTCGGGGTGGGGGGTTTGTAATAGAAGCACTGGTCGACACAGGCTGGAACCTGACTCAAATCACTCTCACGCATGATACGCATAGCCGTCGTTCGGGATAAGTGGCTAGAAACATGATCTAGGAAGGCGTTGGAAGCAGATTGGGCTCCCGCCCGCCGCCGAGGGATGCAGAAATCTGGGGAAACCACTCGGCCACTGAAGCAGGAGGGCGCCTAAAGAAGACTGGCGTCCCCCGATCCAAAACAGCGACGTACCTCCAACGACCGGCGGGTACTCCAAATCCATTACTAATCGTCCCCCGAGTCCGGTTTTTTCAAGCACCCTTTTTGTAACCGGGGCGTCCGGCTTATCAGAGCGCTTTCTCTGGATAGGAGTTTGGGGGGTCCGGTTTATCAGGGCGCCCCGTCGAAGAAGGGGGTCCGGAAGGTCAGATCGCATCTGGAGGGGGGTCCGGTTTTTTTCGAGGGGGGGGAGACTAATAAGGGATTTGGAGTAGACGGCTTGCCATCCAGGGTGTGCCTTGACCCCTCCCCCTTACCGCCTCCCCCTGGGCCTCGACGGGGCGAGCCGCGAGGCGTCCGAGGGCACCTCTTCGCACAGGATGGCTCCGAGAGCGCCTCGGCGAGCCCGAGATGACCGCCAGGATGGCTCAGGAGAGCCCCAGATGCTCCAGGAGGGCCCACGAGATACCCCGAGGAGCCCCGAGGAGCCCGCCCCAGGCCGGCTCCAGGAGGCCTCCGAGGCCCCAAAGCGAGGCACCCGAGGCGCCGGCGCGGCTTCCCTCGGCAGGCGGAGGCGGCGCAGGCGGGCGCGGCGGCGACCGACCGCGGGCGGCGCGGAGGGCGGCCGCCGGGGCGCGGCCCCCTGCGGGCGCGGCCAGCCCACGGGCGGCGCGCGGGCGGCCGCGCGGCCGCGCCGAGGGGGGGCGGTGGCGGCAGGGGCTGCGGCGCGGGGGGGGCGCGGCGGAAGGGCGAGGGCGTGGTGTGGTGTTGCTTCCCCCGGGGAGGCGAGGCTCCAAATGACTACAGTCGGGGCGTTGACCTATAAGGAACCCTAAATAAGGAACGAGGCCCCGTTTTCCATACGTGAGCCTTCGATTTCGGGTCGAAAACATAAGGGAAGCCTGAGGCAAGCTGTGAAACACTTAAGGAACGCGGAGCCCCTCCCCAACGAAAAGGGTTCCTTCTTCAGGGCCCCGACTGTACCTGCCAGACCACCCCAACCCAAGCCGAAGACCCGAATTTGACCCGAATTTCGGGTTGGGGGGGTGTACGGGTTCCATGTGGTTTTTCAGTGCTCCCCGACCCCCCCGCAACTGGAAATGGAGGGCAAATTGAGGCCTTCGGGTTGGGTTGGGGTTGTTTGGTGAGTGGTGACCAAAAAGACCAGAGCGGCCAATTGTTGTTTTCCATGTTCTGTCTCCCAGGGGTCCTCAGCGGGCCGCGGGACCGCCAAAAAGCGACTCAGGTCCAAGATGAACAACTGGCCCTTGAGAAGTGGCGGCAAGGCCGTTTCTTTGCCGTTTCTTTGCCCGTTCAGACGCCGTTGTTGTTCCCGGTTCCGTCGCCGTGCTTTTAGCAGCTCCAAAACCGGTCTCAAGCCCGGAGCCGTCTTTTGTCCGTTTCTGGTCGCAATTCTTTACCGTTCCCATGCTCAAGAAACACGCTCTCGGAAACGGCTGCCGCTTTCGCGTCCACTGACCTCACCCAATGATGAAGAACCCCCCTGGTGCTATCGTCAGCACCGCACGAGAAGCAGGGGGGGATTTTAGCAGAACAAGAACTTTAGCACCGCGCCAAACAAAAAAAACGCCCGCCCTTGATCCGTGAGACTCTTGTAGGTGTTTGAAACGAATGCGCGCGGCGCTATTGTTAAGTCGGGCATGTCCCCCTACAGGGGGATTTTGGACGAAAAAATTAAAATGCCAAAAACAAATTCCAAAATTGTGAAAATATGTGAAAGAAAACGTCCCCGGCCTATTTCTGTACTCTTTTGAAGATGGCTCCTGTAGAGCGACAGGCCCGACTTAACGCGAATGCGAGAGTCAGATTTTGGAATCGAATGAGGACTCCTCGTCCCCCTCCTCCTCCTCCTCCTCCTCCTCATCATCATCATCATCATCACCATCACCATCACCGTCACCGTCACCGTCACCATCACCACCACGACCACCACCACCACCACCACCACCACCACCATCACCATCACCATCACCATCACCATCACCATCACCATCACCATCATCAGCATCATAATCAATCAGCATCAGCACCAGCACCAGCACCAGCATCAACATCAACATCAACATCAACATCATCATGATCATGATCATGATCATCGCCTTCGTCATCCGGGTGCCAGGAAAACGCTTCCCGGCGCGGGAAGCTTTATCCTTTTGCCGAAAGGGGGGAGGGGGGGGTTCTTCAATTTCTCCTGAAGTTAAGGTCCAGCGCTCTGGGGGTCCAAGCATCAAACAATTGGAGCGCCAGATGCCTGGGCCTGGCTGCGGCGCAGAAGGGGCCGCGAGCTGGCGAGCGAGTCGGCGTGCTGCCTCTGGCTGCGTGATCGCTGCCTAAGCGGGAACTTTTACTTGGCGTGTCGCTGCGGCGGCCCCGGCGACCCGCTATGCCCTGACAACGGACAGCGTTTCGCTCCGCTCCGCTCCGCGGGAGGCTCGGAAAGGATCGGGGCAGTGAAGCCTGGGGACTGGGAAATGGCTAGCGTGTCACGCCGAAGCGTGGTGGGCCAGAACCTGCGGAGCGAAACCCTATCCAAACGTGCCAGACTGTACCTTGACAACTGCGTGTCGATGTCTTGTTCATGTAAGGGGGGGCGCCGAGGGGGGGGGCGCAGAGGGGGGGGGGTACGGATGTAGGGGCATGCCTCTCCTTGATACACACACACAAACTTGCAAAGAAATATGGCCGCCGCGATCGCCGCGGCGACCTCCAAAATCGACCCCGAGGTCTACCCCCTGGCCGGGCCGATCGCCTTTCTGTCAGGTTGCGACCAACGGCGCAGCAGCACAACATCAAAAACAATCATCTCCACCACCATCATCACAAATCGATCGGATGCCACGCCGCGAGCCTCCGCCGGGCGCCTCCGCCACAAGCCCGCCCGCATCCCCCTCCTGCGTTCCTCTGCCCTCCGCCTCGCTGTCCTCCCGCTCGAAGAGGCGCCCACTCGCCCAAAGGGGGCTTGGCGCGGATGGGGCAGCGGCGTAGAGCGGGTGATCGTCGTGCTGCCTCTGTCTCCCTTCTGCTCGAGCCCTGACATCTGGGCGTTGCAAAACTTTCACACCGGGATTCTTCGCTCGGTGTTCAGGTCCCAGGGCCATCAGAGGTCGATGCGGCTCGAAAAACGCATCGGAAAGGTAGGGTGGTCCAGAACTCCCGTCGCGACACACACAGGGGGTGCAGCCTGTGCAACGATTTTCAGACTGTCTGCCCCCCCCCCCCCCAGCGCAAAGCCTAGCCGAGACGAGCCTCTCCTCCCGTCTTTCTCCTGCTGTCTCGCCCCCCTCCCGCCCCTCCTGCTCCTCTCCTCCTCCTCCTCCTCCTCCTCCTCCTCCTCCTTCTCCTACTGTTCTCTCCTCCTCATCCTCCTCATCTCTGTCCTCTCTCCTCCACCTTGCTTGCCCCCATCCTTCCTAGAGATCCGACGCTGCGAATCGGAAATCAACATCGAGAACAATCACGACCGGAACCCCAAAACCCATCTTGCTGCGGCGTGCTTCGAGCCGGGGCCCGAAGGTAGGCGGAACCACCCAGTGTGGCAAAACTTGCAGCGCGCGGATCTCAAGGGAGGCCGCCGAGCGCTCAGACGACCCTGCCGCTCCAAGGGGACGAGGGCGCGACCGCGCGGCTAATTACGCAGCCGGGCGACGTCGGCCGACCAACTCACAGAACCCTGGACCCAAGGTGGGACCAACTCGCGGATCTCTGGGGCCTCACGAGTGTGGGAAAAACGAAGATGCACGAGAACGCCCAATGTGAACATTGCCACTCCTGATCTCAGAGTCGTCGGAGATCAGAACTTTTCTCTCCACCTTAGGGGGCTCGGCCACGCCGCCAATCAGGAGGGCACTGGGCGCCGGGCTGCTCCCGCGAGCACCCAGCGCTGCGGCACATCGGAGGTGACGTTAGGGACGACTAGTCTACACTGCAGGAGCAGAACAAAGCGACACCACCACCACCAGGGACCACCAGCGGGAAGTGCCAGGGAGGGGTCCCCCCACTCGCTCGAGACATCCCCTGTCCCCAGCTGGGGGAGGCATAGTGGACCTCCTCGCTGGAGGTGGCCCCCCTGATGGGTGTCGCTTCTCCTCCCCCTGACACTGCCATGGAGAAACGCCGGCCCAACGGGCCAGAGGCGTGCTGAGATCTCCGATAACAGGTTAACAATATTTCTAGATCGCGCGCGGGGTGCCGGCCCCTGGGGACCACCAGACGAACAGAACCCCGGGCGATGCCAGGCCGACTCCCCCAGGGCGCTCCAGGAGCGCGCCAAAAGGGGGGCGCCGGGACGCCCACTACACGGCCCAAGAGGCCTCGAGTCGCCGAAAGATCGCTCCAAGATGGCCTCAGAGGAAGAGGGCCCCAAAAAGCAAACATCGCCCCATTCCCTTCGGAAAACGTACATGTTTCGAATGTACGACGTTTGGTGGTTCACAGTGGGCCTCCAACATCGCCCCCAGACGGCCCAACGCGCCCCCAAGATGGGCCCAAGAGAGTCCAAGAGCCCCAAGATGACCCAATCGGGCCCCCAAACGGCCCAAGAGGGGCCCAAGAAGGGGACCAGGAACCGAAAAGTCCAGCCTTCAGCCCCAAGAGGCCCCCACGAGGCTCCAAGAGGCCCCGAAGAGGCCCCCAAGATACATCCCAAGAAGCCCCAAGAGGCCCCCAAGAAGCCCCAAGAGGCCCAACACGGCCCCAAGAGGCCTCAAAACTGCCTCCTAGAGGCCCCCGAGAGGCCAGCCACGAGAGCTCAACCAACATCCATGAGGCCTCCGACCCACCACCCTTCGCCTCCGAAAAGTGGCAGCCGCCCAACGGCACCGCATTGACAACAACACCCCAACAAACGACAGCGGCGAGGCAATATGGGCCGGCGGAATGAGCGAAGCGATTTAATAATGCAACATTCCTTTGGCAAATCCTGGGAGGTCTTTGCCCGAACGATCAAGAATATTGAACTCGCTTACAAAGAGGCCATTGAGCGGGATCGGGCTGAGAGCGGCTTACAGCGGGATTTAACCAGATTTTTCAACATGATCTGGCCCTTTTTCGACCAGGGATGTGGCAGCGCCGTTTCAGAATGTAACCTCCCAGGAGTTGCATCCCAGAAACATGAATCGTTGACTAATGTGTGTTCGTCGCCTTAGCTTTTTGGAACTGTTGGCCTCCAGGGGCAATGTTCGGGCCATGGGACCTTCGGAAAAGGACCTGGGATGAAAAACTCCTCCTCCCTCTGACGATTCTTCGACACGGCCTGCAAACGTTGAATCACTTTTCCGGAAGGGTGTGGGGGGGCATAACCCGAGAGGGACAATTCACGACTTTTCGCACCACCCCTACAGACAAGGCAGTCCGGCACAAGTTGAGCGCGCGGGGGCGGTAGAAAAAAACTCGCCCCCCGACCAAAAAATGTCTATCCCTTGGATCCGACGTTCGGGGACAAAAACAGCATCGCGAGAGATTGCGGCAGGAGCCCTGGACCCTGTCTCGCCGCAGCATGTCTTGACCGAGATCGGCCCGCGAGGGCCAAGGGCCCGAAGCCGGGTGAGAAAGTCCGGTGCGGGAAAAACTCAGTCAGTGTCCGGATCTCCGCTGCGGCCCGTATCTTCGACTGAGCTATGCTGCATATGCGTACAATGCCCGCCCCTGGGATAACCCCGTGCCACGGATAATGAAATATAGCCCCCCACCCTAAGACCTGAGAGTTGGTTATCCCGGGCAAAGGCAGAGTTGGTCGAGGGAAAGGGGCGGTGAGGTCAAACTTCACTATACCGCGAGTGGAACTACAAATCGAACGCATCGTTCCCTTATGTTGAGTAGTAGCCCTATCACGAATCTGTGGCAGGGAACAAGGACTCTCGCCATTTCAGCTTTCCTAACTCACCCTCACCAAATCAGCGTTCCCAAGGCACGAAGCGTGTGGCATAGTCATATGGTTCTCATCCGTTCACCATGGGGTTCTAACCTTTTCAGCTTTCCCAAATCATGAACGTGTTGCAAAACTCTGGGGATCCCATTATGTCAGCTTCCCCAAATCAACTGATAGATCATCGTTAGTGTAAGTTGCCCTGACGATGAATGTATTCCCCCGAACCCCGAACATTATTCTCTCCACCCTGCGATTATCAGGGGCACAGAGTTACAGAAGCACATCAGACAATAAGTCAGCCTGTCAGCAAGTGCCGCTGAGAACCTCATCATCCCCCGATGGCCTCAGGGACCCACAGAAGTTCAGGGGCACCTCATAGGACCCTCAAACCCGCACATCCTGCACTACGACTTTTTCGATGCGTGGACTCCCGGAGATCTGACAATGCGCGGACTCTCGGAGGTCTGGACAACTTCCCTGTAGGATCAGTTTTTCATCTGGAAGGGCCCGCTGAGGGCCCCTGGAAGCCAAGAGTAGACCAAAGCCAGCCGCTCCAATTACGTCCGAGCCTCGGGTCTCTGGAAGGGCGGCGAACAAGGTGTCGCAATACTTGTCATGGCAAGAATTCTTCCCCTACGTGTCTACATCAATCGTCCCTGCCGCCGCCTCCGATGCCAACTGCCCACGCCGCGGCCAACCCACCGAAGCGCCGGCACAGGAAGGCATGCCCTTGCCTGGGAAAAACGCCGCGGACTGAGCCTGGCGCGCACATTCGGCGGCGCCTGAGGCAGAGTGGAATGAACGGACGACGCGAGGAGCGCCCCCGAAGGGGAACGGCAGGAGCAGTCAGCATCGAATCGGGAAATCGGATCGAAACGAAATCTTCGCTGGATCGAGCTGCATCGGCGCGGGATCGAGACCGAATCGGATCGGCTGCGCCAGGATGCACGGAAGCGCCATGCATCGGATCGTCGGATCCTCGGAAGATCAGGAACGAACCGGACCGGAGAAACCAAAACCGACACCGAATCGGATCGATCGGATCGAAGTGGACTCTGGAATTAGGTCGGGCATGTCCCCGTACAGGCGGAATTTGCGCGAAAAATATACCATACTCGAAACGCACCCCAAAACAATCAAAACATGCAAAAAAAACAACCGTCCCCTGACGATGTGTTTCAACAACTTGGGAATATTCCTCCTGTTGTAGAGCGACGTGCCCGACTTACCCTGGAACGGATCGACGGGCGGCCTGCTCGGGGCGACCGTGGCCGCCTCAGAGTTCCTTCGCGGTGCGTTCCAGAGGCGCTGGTAGAACAATGTCCCTGTGAGTCCAAACGCTCCCTGTCCAATGCTGATGTGGTCCATGTGGCGTCGTTGGCATCCCATCGGGTCGGGCGAAAGGGGGGGAAAGCAAAGGGAGGGGGGGGAAAATCAGCTCACGTAGCTGATTATCCCGGCGCCTCCCGGCGCGGGAGGCGGCCATGCATCGAGGAATGGGCCCCTCGGCGAGGCCGGAACCAGCTGCATGCAGCAAATTTCGTAACCCCCCCTTTCCCAATCCCCACCTTTCGTCCGGACCGAGAGTCCAAACGCTCCCTATCCAATGCGGATGTGGGACATGTGGCGTCCTTGGCATCCCAGGGTTGGGTACCCTCCGTGATCGCGGACCTGGTTGGGAGACACAAGCAAGCAGGAAGAGGAGGAGGAGGAGGAGAAGGAAGAGGGAGATGATGAGGAGGATGAGGAGGAGGAAGAGGAGGAGGACCAATGGAAACCCACAATCCGGAGCTCGAGGGGGCGTGTTCGCCCAGTCTCGGGCCCTGGTGCCATCGCAGCTGCTTCGCGATGCGGCATGTCATTCGCAGCGTCGGATATCAGGAAGAGCAACAACAATATAGCAACGGCACGCCGTCGTGGGGAGCCCATCAGCGCGTGGCTGCTTAGGACGGAAGCCAAAGAGCATATAACAGCATACCTTGTCACAGCTGTCATCGGGTTTCTTGGGTCGGCGCGGGGCACCTTTCCCTGGCGCTCGGAGCGAACAGCGGGCGGGACGGGGCCCTGAGATCGCGAAGCTGGGCCCTGCCGGAGAAACACTTAAAGACTTCTCCGAAGGCGGACCGTGGACTGTGGAGGAGGCGGAAAACGTTGGAGGCGGCCGGGGCGTCGGAACTGAACTGGCCGAGAAAAAATGTGTCAAACAAAGGAAACAAGAGCAACGCGCAGCAACAAATCTACCGACCCCGTCGGCGTGTGGGAGGATTCCGTTCGTCGTCGTCCTCGTCGTCGTGACCGTTCTCCCTCTTTCCCTGGACTCTGCTCCTCAAGCGCGCCAGCTAGAACGAAATTAAATAACATCGTGCGTAGTTGAATCGAAAGGAAACCCCTTCCCTTGATCCTTTCACCGCCGGGGTGTGGGTGGGTGGGTGGGAAGGGGGCGGGGCCCGGGGGGAATCCCGGGTGCAAATGCCCCCCCCCCCCCCCGGGGTCTCCCGAACTTCGTGCAAAACATAAAAACCGTCCAGAATTCCACGAGGAGCTCCCGCCATGGTCCACGAGAACCCCGCATTGCCGAACGATCACTCCTTCCGCGCCCAATATGATATGATTTGCGGACAACCCGAAAAGGTTCCAAGACGCCCCACGAAGCTTCCAAAACCGTCCCTCCGAAAGATCCCACATGTGGAACCTTATGTCTTCATCATCTTCCAATTTCAGCTCCCGCGACGTCTATGGCAGCCCCAGAGGCCGCGAATGGCGCCCAGGCCGAATGCGCCCCCGGGAGGGCCTCAAAACGCCCCTACAAAGCTCCCCAAACGCCCCTGGAATCCTCAACGCGGCCCGAGACACCCCAGAACGGCTTCGACAAGGGGGCCCACGTGAAGACCCGAACGGATATTTCGAGCCCTCGGCCCCGAAAAGGTCCCCTGGGCCCTCCCAGGGGGTCCCCAAAGAGCTCCCGAAAGGCTCTCGACAGCCCCCCGAGAGTTCTAGAAGGCCCCCCCAGATGCTCCAAGAAACCCCAAGGGCCCCCCGAAAAAAATGCACCCGAACGAGAGGCCCAGACGGCCCGAACGCCAGCAACGGCACGCGAGCGGCGGGAATCGGATCGAGATCGTACTGTTTGCGACCGTTCGCTGGTCGACATCGGGCCCGCGCCCTTCTTGCGTCGCGCCCATCGCAGTCGCCCTCCGCCTCCTCCTCCTCCTCCTCCTCCTCGCGCCCCTCCCCTGCGCACTTGTCCAGCCTCGGCGTCGCCGACTCGCGAATCGGATCGGGTCGCAACTGCATCGGCGCGAAATCGGATCGGGATCAGACCGTTTGCGATCGCGGATGGAACTGGAACCCTGCCGGCTGGACATCGCACCGCGCCTTTAGCAGTCGTCCTTCGCGCTTCCCTCCTCTTTTTGCCCCGCGCGCTTCTCGAGCCGGCGCCCGTTCGGATTTCTCTCGCCCCTTCCCCCCGCTCGCATTCGCCGCCCCCCCCCCCGGCTGGGGGGCGCAACGACGCGGCGGCGGGCGAGGCGGGGGGCGGCTCAGGGAGGCCCAGACTTAAAAGGCAAGCTGGGATTGAAAATCGCGTCGGCGGAGATCTCGTCTTTCGGCCACTCGCCTCTGGGCCAGAATATCAAGATAGATTCAGCCGCGGCAGCGAGGGGCCGTCCAGGGGCCCGGAAAGATCGACGGACGCAGAGAAAGACGCCCTTTTCGAAGCTCAATGGAAACCGACAGCCACCCTCGCAGAAGCCAGCCGTTTGCGCGAAGCTCGCTGGCCCTCGCGCGCGCAGCGGCAGTCGTGCCAAGACTGCGCAGGGCCCAGGTCGCATTGGCCGCTGCCAGGGCAGACCCGCAGGCCGCCGGCACTTGGCGGCGTCGTGCGCCCTTCGTGCCCGATCTGGTGGCGCCGAATTGCCGCTGCCGTCTGTTCTGTCGCGTGGAAGGAATCCTTTCTCCTCCTCCTCCTCGGATGCGCGCCAGTATCGATGGCACCGGATGCTGACTGGTCAACGTCCACGGATCGAGGAGGGGCAGGATGTTGGTTTGGGATCCCCGACTCCACAGTGTACTTCCAGCGGGCAGCCAAAGGGGAGTATAACGCAATGGTGGACATCAGAAACAGCGAGAGCACGGGGTGGACCGCGACCGCCCTCAAGTCACCCCCTTCTCCAAGTACGCATCCCTCCTCCATGTCCCCCTCTTGCTCGTATTCCGTGCCATCCTCAGCCCTAACCCCGTCATCTCTCTCCTGCTCAACGTCACCTTGCAATCCCCAACCTCGGCCTCCACATCCCCATGCACTTCCACATCATCGCCGCCCCCATCCTGGTGTTCCCCCCCTCGCTATTTTCCTCCACCTCCTCCACCTCCTCGGCGGCGTCTTCCGCCCCCTCCTCCTGCGCCTCTTCCTCCTCATTCTCTACCTCGTCGTAGTCAGGGTCGTCTTCTTCAGGGTCGGCGGCACTGGCCGTAAGGCCTTCGCAATATGTTCCTGGACCCCTCCCGAAATTCATCTGGCGCAATTGTTCGAAAGGATCCGTTTTTGACTGTTCAAAAAAGGTCTCCGAGACAGAAGGAGGCAAACAAAAACCTTATCTCGAAACTACCCACTCTTCCTGCTCCTCGGAACTAGTGCTGGGCCACCTCAGACCCCCCAGCCGGCTCCAACGAGGACGACGAGGACGAGGAGGAGGAGGAGGAGGAGGAGGAGGAGGAGGAGGAGGAGGAGGAGAGGGAGAAGGAAGAGGAGGAGAGCGAAGCCGAGGGTGGCGGTTGGGGGAGCAGAAAGCCGTGACCCGAGCTCCGCAAACTCGGAAAGCCCGCTCGAGCTCCACCGCTCACGCAGCTCTGGGCGCCGCAGCGGCGGCGTGCCCTGCGCGCGCCAGCCGGCAAATGGTAGACTATGCCACAACCCTGGGTGGTGGGCGAGGGGTCCTGGACGGATCGGGAAACAGGATCGGATCGGATCGTCTACCAAATCGCACCGCTTCGGCACGGACCCAGAGTCGTACCGAATCGGCGGAAAATCGGATCGGACGGGAACGTAATCGAATCGGACCGCATCGGTGCGGAGTCGAATCGACCCTGTGGCAAATAAGATCGGACCAAAACGTGTATCGAATCGGACCGCATCGGCACGGAGTCGGAATCGAATCGGATCGGCGGCGCCAAGACGCAAAACGCCATGCAAATTTCGGGCCGCGATCGCCCGATAATCGGAATCGAATTGAGTCGGGCTGGCCGGAGCCGACAGCGAATCGGATCGATCTGATCGAACTGGACCGTGTAGCGCTGCCTACCTCTCGTGTCCTCTAGTTTCCTTCCCAAAAGAACCATCCAACTTTCGGCGGACCGCGCGAATGTATTGGATCGGCGCTGGACCCCCTCCCTGGCGCGCGGAGCGCGGCAGGGGCGGAGCCAGAGATGCTGCCAGGGGGGGCCAACGCCAACCGCGAGATCTGCGCAAATATTCTTCGGCTCGTGGGACCACCACATGTCGATCTGGCTCGGAGCATCCCGCCCAAGGCTAGGTTTAGGGCTCTGGTCGTCATTACTCGCCATGGTTTTGCTTGCATTACTATTATCGCTATTAGTCTTATGTTTTTACTAGTTTTATCGTAACGTCGGATAAGACAAAGCGTTCAATAGTTTTCTTCCCGATTATGAAAAGCCCTTGAACCAGATTAGCCAAATACTGGAAGTGGATTAAGCCAGATTCAGCGGGACTAACAGGAACTAGGCGGGAGTGAGGCGGATGAGGACGGCTCTCGGCCACGGATAGACAAGCGCCGATGCTGACCTTTACATTCGCAGGGTTGCATCCAAATCGATCCTGACATCCTCGCGCCGTGGAAACAATCACAGCAAGAAATCGTTGGCACTTTCCGGCCTCTGGGGGCACCTTGCAAGACCTCGGCGACGGCGAAACATCAACTCGGGATCATAACCTGGTCTCTGGGCGGAGGTGGTCTTGGAGAAACACACTGCTTCCCCGAATCCCTCTCTCCCTACACTCCGCACTTCCTCCTCTCCGCCCCTGCGTCCACCCGTCCGTCCGCCTCCCCTTCCCTTCCACCCCGCGCCTCCCCTTCGTCCCACTCTCACTGCCCGCTACCCATCCCTCCCTACCCTTTCCATCATGACCATCCGCCAGCTGCATTCGTATTTCTCCTTTTGCGTCCCCGTCCCCTTCACCTCTTATCTTTATCGCCATCCCCCTCCTCCTCCCCCTCCTCCCCCTCGTCCTCCTCGCCGTCATCCTCGAACACTCGCCCTCTCCGCACTCCTCAAACGTCGTCTTGACCCGCATGCGCGCCAAGAGGGCGGCGCGAGATGGGTAGGGCCATGCATCACACCTCGGTTCTGTACAGTGTATTGCCCACTCAGTCCCGTAGCACTTGCCTGCCGAGGCAGGCGTGCCCCCTTGGCATGGCGCCAAACGGGAGGACGTCTACCCTGCATTTCTGGTGGATCAATTGGTAGCCTACTTTCGCAGACCAAACCACCTCCATGTTCCCATCGTCCTTATCATCATGCTCCTCATAAACTTCCTGTTTCCATCCACGCTCTTCTGCCACACGTCATCCCGCCTTGGTGTCGGCCCTGGAAAAATCGGTCAACAGGAAAGACGAGGGAAAACCAGTGCTCAACATGTGCCCCTGGGCCCCTCCTGGAAGCCGACACGGTCTACTTGTTCAAACCGCGCGCAGCCGTGGCGACAAGGGGCCTTCTTCTCCCGCTTCCCTGCTGGCCAGAACCAGTGGTGGGCCACCTCGGTCCCCCAGCTAGGTTCACATCCCGCCTTCCCTCCTTCCCCATGCTGGCCCATGCTCCTTTGTTCCAGTGGTGTCCTCAGCGACCGTTCGCCTGACTTTTGCTGTCAGAGCGTTGTAAGGGGCCCACGTCAGCTGCAAGCGGCTCTGATAACCTGCAGACGGCCATGAAGACCTGGGTTTGCTGCCAGCGGCGCACGATGTAGTGGAAAACAAAAACTGTTGGAACGCAGTTTTCTGCCGAGAACCGAAAACAACGCCGAGAGCAACCGTGTAACCCGAAGCCTCTGTCTGCACCCGATGAGCAAACGAGCTCCTGTTGTCGAATGGCGTGCTTGCTATCGCTGAGCTCATTGCCCTATCCCGGCGACCCTCGAACTGAAGTTTCACGTTCCACTCGCGCGTCCTCTTTTTGGGGAGCACATCAAAGCTCTCCGCGTGGAGTTTGCTCTTGATGCACTCGAGCACTTTCGCGTCCACTGCCACCTGGACTTTATCGGGCAATTGATTGGCCACGACCACTTGCAGGCTGCATCCTGCGGCGTCGCCGAAGGGCCCCGCCCAGATCGCAACGAAATCGCCATCCGATCGAGGTCGGTTGCGGAAGGCCACAGTCGCGCTCGAACTCGCAAGGCCCCGAACGCGCAGGACGATAAACGCACGATGATCCTGGCGTGGCCCAGGAGCCCGCTCGTCTATTCGGACCGATCACGCCCGTGATCGGGGGGAGGGGGGGGGTCCGTTTCGCCAATCACGTCACGACGGGTGTGCGCTTGCGGTGTTGCAACATGCCCGCAAGCACCGCAGTGCGCCTGCGAAAAGCAATCGCCTGCGACCCGACAGTCATGACGTGCATGTGACCAGCGCCACAAAAGCGTGCGGTCCGATCAACGCGACGTGCCTGTGAAAACCACAATTCTTTTTAAGAGCGCAGCGTCCGTGAGCACCACAGCGCCTGTGAACATTAATGCGCCTGTACAAACAATGCCTGCGAACACCACAGCACCTGTAAGTACACATCGCATGCGCACACTACACAGCTGGAACTCGCCACAACGCTTGTGAACACCACAACGCGTGTGAACGCAGCGCGCACAAGCAACGCAAAACCTGGGATCCGGCAACACTGCACAAACACGAGCAGTATCAGTAGCACTAGAAGTACTCGTAGTAGTGGTAGTAGTAGAGCGCAGCGTCCGTGAGCACCACAGCGCCTGTGAACATTAATGCGCCTGTACAAACAATGCCTGCGAACACCACAGCACCTGTAAGTACACATCGCATGCGCACACTACACAGCTGGAACTCGCCACAACGCTTGTGAACACCACAACGCGTGTGAACGCAGCGCGCACAAGCAACGCAAAACCTGGGATCCGGCAACACTGCACAAACACGAGCAGTATCAGTAGCACTAGAAGTACTCGTAGTAGTGGTAGTAGTAGTAGTCGTCGTCGTCGTCGTCGTCGTCGTCGTCGAGTCGTCGTAGTAGTAGTAGTCGTAGTAGTAGTAGTAGTAGTAGTAGTAGTAGTAGTAGTAGTAGTAGTAGTAGTAGTAGTAGTAGTAGTAGTAGTAGTAGTAGTAGTAGTAGTAGTAGTAGTAGTAGTAGTAGTAGTAGTAGTAGTAGTAGTAGTAGTAGTAGTAGTAGTAAGTAGTAGTAGTAGTAGTAGTAGTAGTAGTAGTAGTAGTAGTAGTAGTAGTAGTAGTAGTAGTAGTAGTAGTAGTAGTAGTAGTAGTAGTTGTTGTTAGTAGAAGTAGTAAGTAGTAGTAGTAGTAGTAGTAGTAGTAGTAGTAGTAGTAGTAGTCGTAGTAGTAGTAGTAGTAGTAGTAGTAGTAGTAGTAGTAGTAGTAGTAGTAGTAGTAGTAGTAGTAGTAGTAGTAGTAGTAGTAGTAGTAGTAGCAGTAGTAGTAGTAGTATTAGTAGTAGTAGTAAGTAGTAGTAGTAGTAGTAGTAGTAGTAGTAGTAGTAGTAGTAGTAGTAGTAGTAGTAGTAGTGGTAGTGGTAGTAGTAGTAGAAGTAGTAGTAGTAGTGGGTAGAAAAAGTAGAAGAAGAAGAAGTAGTAGAAGTAACAATAGTAAAAATGATACCGAAGAAAAGCCCCAATCAGATTTTCGTTAGGGCTATAGGGCTATAGGACTATTGGGCTATAGGGCTATACGGCTATCGGGCTATAGGGCTATCGGGCTATAGGACTGTGACCTATAGGGCCATAGGGCTATAGGGCTATGTGGCTATAGAGCTATATGGGCTATAGGGATATAAGGCTATTCGGGCTATAGGGAAATAAGGCTATAGGGCTACAGGGCTATAGGGCTATACGGCTATAGGGCTATAGGGCTACTGGGCTACTGGGCACCCCTGGGCATCCCCAGGCACCCAGGCACCCCCGGGCCCCCGGGCCCGGCCACCGAAATCGGCCACCCGGGCACCCCAGGGCACCCGGGCACCCGGCCCCAGCCACCGAAATCGGCCGCCGACCTCACCTCACCTTTATATCCGCTAGGACCCCTACAGAAGCAAACTCAGATTGGGGAGTAATAATAGTCGTCGTAGTCGTAGTCGTAGTCGTGAAAAAATGAATGTACTAGTCGTAGTGGTGGTAGTAAGTAGTAGTAACAGGAGTAGCCGTAGATGTAGAAGTGATACTAAAAATAGTAGCTGTAATATCAGTAGTAGTGGTAGTAGTACTAGTAGTAATAGTAGTGGTAGTAGTAGTAGTACTTGAAGCAGTCGTAGTCGTAGAGTGTCCATATCAGTAAAACTGGTTGTAGTCGTAAAGGTAGTAGTAGTAGTAGTAGTAGTAGTAGTACTAGTAGTAGTAGTAGTAGTAGTAGTAGTAGTAGTAGAAGTAGTAGTAGTAGTAGTAGTAGTAGCAGTAGTAGAAATATCAAGAACACAAATGATAGCATTAGTAGTCGCAAGTGTAGTAAAAGCGGTCGTAATTATAGTGGTAAGCGCGGTGGTAATCCTAGGAGAACCGGTGGTACTAGGTGTACTCGTAGTAGTGGTAGTTGTAGCAATTTTAGTAGGGTCGGTTGTACTGGTAGAGTACGAATAGAAGTAGTAATAGTAGTAGTACTAGTAATCGTCGCAGTCGTA